CGAGCAGCGAGATCGGGAGCAGCAGCGGCAGCGGGTTAGGGTTGGGTAAGGGTTATATCGATTTAGTTGGTTCGATTGAACCAACTAACAACCGAACCAGGACCGAACCAGACCTAAAATCCTGGTTCGGTCACTTGGTTTACCCAGGCGCTCGCCCGAAGCGCCCAACGCCTGGGCTCGGGCGAGCGCCTGTTTGAAGCGCGCCGCTTGGGACATTAACGAGGCGCTCGGGCCTCGCCTCGCCTCGCCCGAGCGCCTCTTTCAATCACTGCTATTAATATATGTAAAAAATCATATGTTTAGTTAAGCTTAGAATATTTAAATCTTTATTAATAGATCTGTAAATGCCCCCCTCCCACCAACCAAAAAAGAGAAACAAAGAAAGAGAAGTAAAACAAGATTGATCCTTCCCAATATCAAGCATGATATTCTAAACTTGCAATACCACTTCTAGGACATTTCAATGTGCTCATCATATTTTGCCAAAGCTGAAGCATCTCAAGTTTCTATGGTAGCCCATTAGGAGATAGCAAAGGCTTTGTTCCATGATATTATTCATCTTCAACAGGTACTAACATGCTGAACCAAACTCCATACATATCATTTTTGCAGCATCTACCATATAAGAAACTCTTGTTAATGTCACATCAAGCAGTTCATGCTCAACATTAAATTTTTCATTCCAATAAAACAGTTAAGAAAAAAAAATCAGAATCTATCTTTTAATATGAACCTTAAAAATTTCAACTTAATTCAAGAGCATTGGACAATCACTGGCCTAATACCAAAATGAATTAATTCAAGATTGAGTAGTTTTATAGTTGATCTGTCCACCCAAGAAACCAACATAAAGTAACAGACCAAATTTAACCTCTGGTAACAACCCCTGTTTTGGATTTCAGCGGATAATCACATCATCCTAATACTGATATATCAAGGTAACAGCATCAGATCACCGAATCTCTGGACAGGTGCTACAATATAGTGATGGTACCATGCAGTCTTTTTGTCTTGGCATTCATCTTTCTAAGGTGTAAGATGTTGTCTTAAACATTTCTATCACAGCAATAGCCACCAAGAATCGAAAAATAAAGCAATATCAAAGCAGCATAATTCTAAACATTCATGAAAAAAAGGAAATCAGTAATTCCACTTACTATTTGGATGAAACATTCGAGAAACAAACCGTACAGATGGTGGCTTATTTGGATAATCCTCTGTAAATTGAAGTGTCAATTTAAACGTGCCTGGACAGATCCGATAATTCAAGCTTAGAGGAAGCAAAATAATAATAATAATAAAATCTACTGATGAACACTTGGAGCAGGTATACAGTATAATCCAGCAAATAGAGAGAATAAATAATGCATTAGCAGCATAGTTGGCATAACTGTATCATTATTGTAATATGCCCAATGCACGGATCAGTAGAGGAATAATACTTTGGCTATAGAAGATGTAAACCCTCTTGAAACTCATACATAGCACAACAAAAAAATTCATCAAATCATCTTCGCTTGCTATTCAATTTGGCATAATCAGATGTCAAGGTAAAAAAAAG